AAATTGGATGTTTAATTGTACGTGATATTACCCACTGTTGATCCAGATGAAGACAAAAAAACCCTATAAAGCATGGTTCAATTTGCTACAATAGGGGGGGAAAATCCTCCCTGATCCCATAAGGCAATTGGATATTCCTAGGTGCAGGGTCCTATCAATACATCAGAAGCCCCCTTCATATCAGAGCCCCCCTTTACATCAGACACCCTGTATCATATCAGGAGCCCCTTCACATCAGAGCTCAGTCTCTCCTTCACATCAGGGTCCTACCATCACATCAGGAACTGCAGCTGTGGCAGCAAGGCAGAGAGCGGAAGACGGAGCAGACCTGGGTGGAGACAAACTTCTTTCCTTTTAAAATGGATGCCCCTCTCTCTGGATTAGCGTAATTAGTTTCCATGGTGATGGCAGCCAGCCCACCTGCACCATGAAAAGGCATGACACCTTGTGAAAATTTCAAAGCACCCCTGAGGAAGACATAAGGCACTCCATGGCACCCTAGTTGAGAAAGGCTGGGTTAGATATTTAATACAATTGCATAGGCTGTAACTTATGGTTCAACATTACATATGTTAAAAAGGTAGGAAAAAATGCAAAGCCATCTATCCTTTGGATCAATTAGTAGTGTTATACTTAAAGTGGACCATTCATCCAGTAGCACAGTGAACCTATCTGAACAGATAGTGTTTATCTGAACATACAGTAGGTTACTCCTACTGCGTTTCATTGATGTAAAGTTCCGTCTGTTCTTATTTGAATGTGCATATGAAGAATTGTCATGCCGAGGTCTGCCACAATGTACCATGGATCCTTGAGTCAATTGCTGAATGGTCAAATACAGGTTAGTGTAATTGCTCTGGTTACTGCATCTAAGCTTTTACTCTGTCGTATTGCTGCTTGGTGAATTGCTTTAAGAGAAGAGAAAATCACTATGTGTGCAATGTCCAAAGTTTCCTGGTTTCTTCAGAAATGTCTTTGTCGCATGAGAATAGAGGTCGTGAAAGGTACCGACTGTGTTTCTTAAAATGTCATAATCTGAAAATATAAAACAATCAATCAGTTTCTATTGCACTTGGTTCCAGAATATATTTTAGCAGTAGAATAATGCAGCTTTAAAATGTATCTAAACCCAGGAGCAGAAATGTAATATATTGCAGCTAATCGGTCCTTTCATGTGAGGACTAAATTAGTTTTCCTTTGTCAGGATTTTATTTTTTAGGTATACTGGTGATCTAGCCAGTAATACACTTCCTATCCTAGCGTACCCAATCCTGATGTGTATTACAGATCACCTCCCTTTCACTGTGGAGGGCCGAACCAATAGGCTGAACTTAATTCTGCTCAATATTAATGTTATCACTTTATAGAAAGCAGTAAATGATATGGTTTTGATAATGTCCCCATTACAGTGCCCCCTTACATTGTTTGTCCCATTTAGATTGCCCCTTTATATTATTGTCCACACATACCTTAGTTTACTACTTTATTAGTAGGCCAGAGGCAAGAGTCGGGAGGTAGGGCAGGCTGCAGGAGAGGACGGAAGAAGATATTCTTCCGTCCTCCTGTATTGCTGTTGACGTGGAACACATTTGACATAGCTGGTTGCTAGGACCACCGTTGCCCTTGCAACCAAAGACAGCAGAGGAGGTGGACACCTGTCATTGGTTGCTAGGACGCCAGCGGCCCTAGCAACCAACAACTGAAGAGGAGAGGGGCCTGTGCTGGGCTATGGCTGACCATGAATGCCCCAGCTTCAGAGACCGGCGCATCCACTGTCAGCCACTGTCATCACGGTCTAGACAGAACTGTGACTCGGACTATGACTGCAAGCCAGACAGACACAGCCAACTGACTGCATGTGGCCATAAAATGGCCAGGTCTGCTTTAGGTGCAGAAGTGTTTCCTAATGTATTTACTGATATTGTTAGACTAGCGCAGATGATAATAAGGTATACATGTACACACCTGCAGGTAAGTAGGCGGGGTCTCCTGTCTTTATTCTATGTAAGAGAGATTTTAAAAACATTCTAAAATCAATGCCAGTGGCTTGAGAAGGGCAGATGAAAAACCTGGTAGGAATCTCATACATGGAAACCATTTTCTCACAGGCAAAGCCCAGGTTATATAGGATGCCCTCTGCATCTGCTTGATGTAATGTCAGGATTTCTGAAATGCTGAACGAAAGAGAAAAAGGGTCAGCAAGATCAAATATATATTTTTTTCTATATGAAATGCAATACATCCTCTTTATAACTTTATTCGAAGTTGCAAACAACACTTCATTATTAATGCAGATATGCTGCATTTTTACACCAGTGTAAATGTATGGTGTGAACAGGGCACATAGAAAACAATTGTGTGCCCTTGTGTTGAGCCTGCATTTACTAAAGCAGATTGGCGTAGTTCAAGGCACCTGGTGTGAACGAGTCCTTACAGCAGGGTGAGCCAAACTTCGGCCCTCCAATTGTGAAACTACAAGTCCCATAAGGCAATGACTTGAAGACTTTGACAGCCACAGGATGGACTTCCAGAGGCAGATGCATGAAGGGATTTGTAGTTTCACTACAGCTGGAGGGCCAACGTTGGGTTATCCCTGCCTTACAGTATAGTTTACCTTATAGTCGTGTTACAACTTACCTAATCCTCTGAGCAAAAAAGAAGGATAAAGGGTATTGTCAATCATAACCGTATTTGTACATGTATGTGTACTAACCAGGAGCACAATGTTCTCTATCAACAGATATCTACAGATTTTAAAAAAGAGTTCTTACAAAATCCCCTATTCACAAGAGTTGACTGACAGTGCATGTGTGACTATCTCTATAGAAAGCATAATGCCTAGCTGGGAAAAGGGTTTAGGGATGTATATTTGGCAAGCGCAAGCCCAGCAGACACCCTTACCAGAGCTCTGTTGTGTCTAGTTCACCAAATAGTAGATCAGTCTTGGGGTGTTTCACATAAATATAAAATACGAGAATGAATATTGAAGAGGCAGTCAGTTGTTTAGAAGAATTTTGGGTGGATGAGACATCTAATAATGACCAACCACCGTCTAATGTTTAGAATTTATTTTAAAGTAGGAGCGTAGCCAAAATGTTTTATTAGTTTTGGATAGAAAGTTTAGATGTTAAGTCATACCATTTATTGGCTAACCTAAGTTATTAAACATGCAAGCTTTTGGGATTCCTTAGATCCCCTCATCAACGGGCAATGTATAAAGCCTGACAAAGGGATCTAAGGAATCCTGAAAGCTTGCATCTTTATTAACTTAAATTAGCCAATAAAGTGGAACTACAACCTCCAATCCTTTACAGCCAAGGAAGGTGACATCTTGGCCTCTATTTGGATTGCAGTGGCCATGGTGCTGCACATGTGATCAGTTATGATACCAACCATTTTAGGGCTTGAATGTCTGTTTGAGAGCTGAAATAAGCACACTAACAACTTTGACAGTTGGCACGCCTTAAAAGTAACTGTATTGGGAGATATTAAATTGGTGGTGTGATGTTTGGGGATTTTAGTACATATGGTGAGTGCTTTACGGATGCATTCCACTCGCAATATCTTCTGTTTAAGGGCCTGGTAGCCCACTTTTATTAAAAAGAAAGTTCATACATCCACCTTAGATACCCTTGCAGGGGTTGTTCAGTATAACATCCATGCAATGCTTTAAAACAACACAAGTTTAGCCTCCAGGCTTCCACTTTAAACATTACCACTTCTGATCCACTGGTCTTCTTTGAAGTGCTGTCCTACATTTATACCAACGGACCCTCAGGCTCACGGCTCTCCTAGCCTCACCAGTTCTCTCCCAGCCTCCCTGGCTGTCTTTGTGTGCCGCCAGCACACACACCACCTGACTCCACTTTAACTTCTGTGGTAGTCCTCCTGACTCCTGAAAATCGTCCCTTACTATCCCAGCAGGAACTCACCTGACTCCTCTCTGACTTCTGGGAGTGTCCTCCTGACCCCCTGAACACGGTCTGTTTCTATTTCCTAGCAGGAGCTAATTCCCATAGCCAGCATCCTTTCCTTAAGGGCTGTGCACACCTGTGCAATCATTGGGTACTGGTCACTGCTAAAGCCTGGACCCAGGACTGGAGATCTCATCCCTCCTGAATCACCTTGAAACCTCCCAGTTCCAGGATCCCAAGCATAATATATACCTTCCCTTGCTTCCTGACACTTCTCAGCCCATCTGGCTGAGAGTGCGGGGTGATCATAACACCCAATTCTACAGTGGGATTGCCACACAATACCACAGTGGGTAAAGTTCCTCTTTAACCTCCAAACTTTCAGTACTAATCAATGGCAAACACAGTACAATACTCAGTGCAATTGGTCTTGGATAAAAGAAAAGAAGATTAGAAGTAGCAGCAGGAATGTTGGTTTAGCATGAAATACCTTGAACTGCTTTTGGCGGTGCTGGTAGATGTCATGCTGTCACCCATGTACATTGTCTTAAGTCGAGGATGTTCTTGCAAAACCCTGTATAATTGAATACATGGTAAAAAGGAATGCATAAAAAAGAATAGATGGATAGAAAGAGATAGATGGATAGATTCACTTGGTCTGCGCGTTAATTGCATGATTCTCTGCAATTAGCTCACAGTGCCGTGCAATAACAGTGCGTGGTTGGGGGTGGGCGTTGCATTGCCATTAATTTAAATGGCACCCCAAACCCATCTCCCGCCCACAATGCGATCAATCATACTTCAACATGTGGTACTGCATTGCTTTTGCGGTATGATTTTAAAAAGAAGCACATGCGCTGCGCAGTACCACGCATTAATCGCAATTAACGCATGGACCCAGTGTGAATGGGCCCTGATACTCTTCATGTTGAGATTTGAAAAATATCTTATATATTAAGCAGGATAACTGCACAAAAAGATCAGGATTGCAGTCAGCAGTGTAAATTCATCTTATACGATGTAGTTTGTAAGTCTGTATAGAGAAAGGTGCTTAAAGAGGAGAGAACATTTGTAGTATTTCATGTTACCTTATTCTGTTCCTATGATGATCAGATAAGTGTGTTGCTAAAAGGGGAAACAAAGACCAAATCAGAGAAAATGCTTATGTACTAACAACATCAAATGTGGCTCGTATCCTGTAGACCAGTGGTTCTCAACTCATGCACACACCTTCTGCAGTGGGTCGCGGCGTCCTTCCTGCAAAGAGCGGCCCATGTTATCGGCTATTGAGCACATAATGTCAGGTTACATTGTACATTGGGGAGATACCCCACATGCCTCTGCACTGTCTCTGATGTTATACCTCTGCCCCCTAAATTCAAAGGTAGGAGATACAAAAATGTTTCTTAGCTCTAAATTTATGGACTGCCCTCTTTCCTACACATAATGGTATCCACCTTTAGAATTACTAAGAGATAGTATATGGATGCTATGAATCAGGGAAATAATCTGCTTCAGAGAATGGGGAACTCCGGGAATTGCAAAAATTAACAAAATTAACAATAAACTGCTAATTTCTGTAACTAAGCTTACTTACCAGTTACATTTCCATTTTCTTCTAGAGATATCGGCACTGATGCTATCTGACACGTCCGGGTTTGTAGGATAGCGTGTCCCCCGCCACTCGCTGTAGTGCTTCCTGCTGGATGCTACTTTACTACAGAACACAGCAGCCACTGGAAGGGACCACAACAAGAAGCAGGGGGCACGCTATTTAACACACCCATGTCCTGTGGGTGAGGAACCAAATTTCCATTTCCTTCTAGAGACTGGAGCTTTTGCAATTCAACATTTCCTGGTGTGTAGGATAGCATGCCCCTCACCGCTCATTGTAGTTTCTCTTCCCGGCCACTTTGTTACTACAGAACACAGCAGCCATTGGAAGGGACCACTGCAAGTGGCAGGGGACACATTATCCTACACACCCAGAAGACTGCCAGGCAGGTATAGATTAAGCTTTTTCTTTTACAAGCTGGCTGGCTATTCGCCCGCCGAGCGCACCACAAGGCACTGCGCACCACCTTGTGAAGCCCTGGATGGCTAAAGCCTTGCACCTGACCACAGGTACAGTGCACTGAAGGGCCATGATTGGGCAAAGTAATGATGACTTTGCCCAATCATGGCTCACCTGTCAGGTGCCGTACAACTGTAAACAGTTGGGCGGAGCTAGATAGCTGTCACTGCTAGTTCCGTCCAATTGTTTATATTTTGCCGGCATCTGTCAGAATGCTATTCTGCGTCGGGAGTTTGTCCCGAGCGGACGGGTCGTCATTTTTAAAAAATAATTTCTATTTATTTTTTCTTGTTTTATTTTGTCGAGTCGGCGTCGTCGTGGACAACACTAGACGTCGTGATTGACCCTGGATTACATCAGTGGATCCATTTAAAAAAAAAAAGTTTTAATAAAAGACTTGTCAAAAAATTATCTTTTGTTTGTTTTGTTTTTTTCAATTAAAGGATTTTTTCTAAAATCTGGCATCTTGTTTATACTTTAAATGTAACCCTTTAGTAAATGGGTAGGGGTATAAGTACCCCTTACTCATTTACAAGGGGGGGGGGGGGCGCATCTGGGTGCCTGGTATGACTTTGAGTGGGAACCCCACACACTTTTTTAAAATTGTAACTTGGGGTGCCTCCTAAAATTCCTACCAGACCTAAAGGGTCTGGTATGACTTTTGGGGGGAATCCCACGCTTTTTTTAAAAAATGGGGCCCCTCCTAACTTTCCTACCAGACCTAAAGGGTCAGGTATTGTTTAGGAGGGGGAACCGCACACTTTTTTTTTTCTTTATAAATGTAATTTTTGCTGGAGCAGGTTTTATACATTGTACAGATGTGCCACATTACAGGCAGTTTAAGGGAACCCCCCAGGAACGATATTTAAAGGATTTTTTTATTTTTATTTTTACCCTTTAAGTGATGTTAAAATCACTGCTCCTTTAAAAACGATATTTTTAAAAGTGTTTTTTTTCATTGATACATGTCCCCCGGTGCAGTACCTGGATCCCCATACACTTTTTAAGGCCAAAACTTGCATATAAGCCTTCAAAATTGGGACATTTGATTTTCAGAGTTCTGGTCCCATAGACTTGCATTGAGTTCGAAGTTCGAGTTATAACTTTTTCCATGTTCGAAAGTTTGAAGTCGAACTCGAACTTAACTCGGGTGTGTTCTGCCCATCACTACCCTATATATACCTGCTTGCACCTTGACCCCCTGGACTCTCAGATACACCATGCTAGCCTCCTCTCAGTTCAATATGATATATCCTGACAGCAACTTCAGAAGCCTATTACATTCCTCAACAAAACATTCTATTATTTGCATTATGTGATAGAGCGACTTCTCACATTCCCATCTGTACCTGTACAGAAAATGAGATGTTTGACATTTATGTAACACTGTGCTGCCTACGAGCTGCCATTGTAGGCAAATTGATACAATAAAATGACATTTGGCTCTGTTTTTGTATGGGATTACCAGACAGGAAGTCTGCAGTACATAGGAAAATATAAATCTCTTTTTTAAATTGGGGACATGTATCTATATGATTTCTTGCATAGAACATTTACATTTGAATGCTTTTGTTTTGTTTTTCTTACCTTCAGCTCCGAGAGAGAAGTCATCATCCAAACTGTTTACTTTGCTGATAAGCCCTGCAAGTGAGAACATTATTTAAAGGCATGTTGTAGGATACCTGATCTTGAGTACATTGCTAAAGTATATTTTGTAATCTCTGCTTTCAGGGGTGTAACCACAAAAGAAAAGGTTTGATGAGTCCCCCCACTGTTGGGCATCCCCTTTCTCACCAGTGGCCAGTGGTCTCTAGTTCATTCTGACAACCAGCACCCACAGCCACCTGAATACCCGAACAGTAACTGCATCTCACTGGATTCTGTCATAGTTTGGCCAACAATTTTCCAGCCGGTTCCTTCAATTTTTCAGTTGACTTTTGTAGTGTCAGGGGGCGATGATAGGGCCCCTCATGACTCAAATTTCAGCAGCGATTGACCGGAATTCGAGACGTGTATGGCCAGCTTAAAGTGTATTACCACCAGTACAACCAAATTTAAGAAAGCTCACTATGTATTTGTTATGTGTTCCCATTCACACAGTATACCTAAAAAGAATTAAAAACAAATTCTTACCTTTCTAGTTGTTTCTTTGGGGCGGGATTACAGACAAGACTCTACAAGCAGCTTGAATTGTTCAGAAAAACTGGCAGAACAATACACTATATCAACACTGAAGTACAGTACAGTTAATACCACCATTGCGGAGGTATTTAAAAAAAAAACAAAACATATGACAGCAATGTATACCGAGTATAAATGAAGGAGGCATATGCAGTTGCTGAATATGAACACTAAAATGTACTTTTTTGTTAGCTGTCTTCATCTCCTCATGGCTCCTTTTGAAATGGCCACCTCTGTGCTGCAGTCTGTGTGAATTACAGGTTGCTGTACACAGTAGGAACCACAATGTAGGGCATGGAAAACCACATTTCCCATAATGCTTCTGCTTCTCTCATGCATTCGTTAATATTCATAGTGGCAATGCCCCTGAACAGTGCAGAGTGACCTGGAAAGGCAGAGCTGGCGTACAGCCTGTACAAGACAATCTGACCCCAGTGTCAGATTGACTTTCCTGTGGAGGGAATTTTGAATTTGGCGGATTCAGGCCAACTGCAAAGTTCATAAAAAATTTAAAAAGTAATTAAAATGTACACACATATACAACATCACTGCACCTCTGAATTACTACAATAAATGCAATAAATAACTTAGGTGGGAATGGGCTAGTACGACATACAACGTACCACCCAGGCCTTGATAGCTTTAACCTTTTCATAGGACAGACAGTGTGTACATCTCTGATCTGCCAGCACAATACAAACAAGCTTAATTATAATGAACATGACTCCTATAGAAAGGGACAGATAAGTAAAACTTTTATAGGATTTTTCAGCAAATAAAAAAGGTAATTTTGAAATATTTTTATAAGTTATACCATGTAACAAATATAAAGTGTGTACAGTACTACACTAATTTGGATGCAAAAGTGGAAATACACTTGTTTTCTCCTATTCACAGTTCAGCTGTAATGTTGAAGATTTTTTTGTAGAAGAAATAGTCAGATAATGACTTATCAGAAATGAAGCTGATAAGAACATTTCATCAAGTGGGTTTTATCTAGAATTTCAGTCACAAGAAATGAATAGGATTTCCTGTTATGACTTCACGTTATCACAACTATCGGTCAAAACGATCTTGTTTAAAGGACTATAATGACATTCATTATATTCACTCATCAGAAGGAAATTAGGTTTAGCTGAGGCAAAAAATGGGCTATAGATAATTTTTCTTGTTGCCCATAGCAAGCGATCAGTTCCCAGCTGGCAGAGGGGCGGCCACAGTGTCCTAGGTTGCTATGAGCCCTTAACAACCTGTGTTGCTCTTTCTGGCTTTCCACCCAGCTCACTGAAGTCACAAGTTTAAGAGAGCTGAGGAGGACGCTCTGCCTTGCGTCCAACTAAGTACCTGGCAATTAGTGACGTGAATGAGCTGGACGGGATGCCAGACAGTGCAGCTGAAAGCACGGTTCAGCGTCCTCCGCCAGCCCCCCCCTACAACAAGTGTTCCCTATCAGCACCCCCACCCGAAAAAACATCGCCTCTGACAGGGAATTCCATAAGGAAAGCCCTGACCCCACCATCCATGTAAAGTGTGAACAGGGCACATAATAAATAATTATCTTCTATGTGCCCTGTTCACACCATACACGTGTGTAGAAAAATGCAGCTCAATAGACAAGGTGTGAGCAAGCACTGAAGGTCACAGGTCTGAATGTTACAGCCTCCCATTCATCAATTCTCTGGGCAATTATCAGGAAAACCTGTGTGTTCAGGCTCTAACACTGATCCACGGTCTACAATTACCTTTGTGATACAATAAGCCTTCTTCAGAAAGAGTTTCCAGAGATGAGCTGAAAGTGATATGAAAAAATTATTTTGAAAATCTTCATAAAATATAACGTCTAGAAAAATAATTCTTCCAACATTTTACCAGTTAAGACTAGTGTAAGGCTGATGGTTCCTTGCTTTTGAAATTTTGCCCTTTAAATCTTTCTCTTTAAGAATGAAAGGATGATTTGTATATCATGAAATGGCCACTTTACACAGATCTTTGTAATCATGAAATATCTGTCATAAGCACACCATTACCATCTTGGAAACTACACCTCTATGTGATCAGGTTGTAAGAGACTTTTGTTCATGTGTGAGGGGGGCCACCTGGTGGCCAGGTTGTCAAGCACCTTCCTGGCCGGAGGCTTCTATAACAGGTTTGCATGGGCAGCAAGCCAAAATGCCAACCTTGCCCGGCCGGTTTCAAAACATACTCAGGTTCCCTATATTCGGCTCTAGGCGTAGGCAGGGGTTGTCAGTTCACTTTTGTAGGAGGCCTCCGATGTATCCCTGGTTTCAGATTCTGTCCCTGGAGAAACCTGACCAGTTACCGCCACTGACTTACCCAGCAAAACCCAACCACCACACACTTGCTCCAAGCAAGGTCACCAACCAATCAGAGGAATGGATAGATTCAGCCAATTCAGTCCATCTCCTTCTAAAAATCTTCTTAAGGCATGATAAAACAGTCCATTTTACGCATGGTTCCATTGCCATTGCTGGCGAACTTCCAGACTTATGCCCACAGGAATGGGCCCTGCTAATCGAGTATCAAGCTGTACGGGCTGGACTCACTTGGGAAAAGAATCCACAAAGGCTGGATGAGCACTGAGTGTTGGCATGGCTACACTGGATCCAAACGGGATCCAATGGGATGCAGAACTCACTGCAAATGGGTTATGCTGACACTCAGCCCTCATCTAGCCATAATTCAGGCACAAATTACAGCTATCATTACTTATTGTTGCTCAAACCCTCAGGGGTTAATTCCCCTGAAATGTGTTGGCTGTATCTGACATTTCCCATGATTTGCTCTTCTGTTGGGCGACCAGAGAGGCAGCAGCCTTGGATTAAAACTAGGTCCATACACTAAACACATACTGTTATCATGGATTACCTCCCTCAAGGAGTACATGCCCCATTTTTTCAGATTAACATAAAAACTGATTCCTACTCCCACTGGTCCAGCGCTACCACTTGTCTATCAGTTCCCTTTGCTCTAGCTCAGCTCTCAACACCAAAATGATAAAACACAAGTCCTTCCTCTCCTATTAAATATACACCCCCTACAGGTCTAAGTGTACCATATCTCCTACACACCCAGGACACACTAACAGGGCCTTATGTGTGTGCAAGTCAATATGTCACTTGTGTTCATACAAATATAGTTATAAATACTAAAATAGTGCAGAAAACACCGTGGCTGAAACTAATTTTCCTGGCCATATCCATGGCAGCGCTGACAAATGGGTTTAGATCCAATTACCCCTAGCTGACAGGAACCAAAAGGGTTAAACAAGGCCTAACCCTCTCTATAAAAGCCCCTCCTCCTGCTGACTTCCCCAGTCTTCCTGTCAGCTAGGGGTAATTGGATCTAAACCCATTTGTCAGCGCTGCCATGGAGTATAACCAGGAAAAGAAAATTACGGTAAGTATGATTAAATTTTCAGTTTTCTTTGATGCCTCATATATGGTCTCATTTACCAAACAAAAAAGCAATTCTGTCAAGAAGGGCAAATATTTACTGAGGTTAGGGAGAGAGTATAAAATCCTTGACAATATTTCAATATTTAACGCATACATTTCTAATAATGTTCTAATTGTTGGTCACGTGTTTAGATGAAGCACTGAGATCTGGAGGAATGCTGAACTAAGTTTCACTTGCTTAGAGGAATATTACATCTGAATACAGCATTATACATTATTCCAGAGAGAACTTCATGTGTATCATAGAGAAACATGCATAAGCATAGAGACTAACATTGCACTACAGCGCCATCTACAGCTCAGTATATGCTGTTGTATTTCCAACACTAATTATGTTTTTATAACTGTGCTGGTCATAAACATATTTCCTGACAACCACATGGCAGCATACAAATGGGTATGGCTCCACCCCCAGCACAATCACAGGACCAGTTATACTATAAATTAAAGCAAGCCTTCCAAGGCAGCCATTCTCATAACAATTACACAATGCGAAAGCCATGGGAAGGTCCCATATGCTGCCATGTATTAGCGTCAGGAAAGGAAAATTACCGATAGGTAAGTATACAATGTTCCATTATCCACATATGTTTTCATTGGGTGCAGATAATATACAGTGATAGGGTATATCATATACTTTGTAGAGCATGTTGCAATCTGAAGAAAACGCAACATGCAGTAGTTTTCACTACAGGACATTTAGCACTGAAAACATGGTAGAATAAGTGCCCTGAGACCTGAAACCTTGACCTGACCCTATTTACACCTTTGTGTTGTGGTAACACCTACAAATACATAAAATACACATTGTACTGCTCATCACCACAACGTGCAATGCCAATGATTCTGTAGCGATAACTCCCCGCGGGGAGCCGCTGTTTGCCCGGTCCTCATCTAGTCAGTCTAGGGGTTGATTTCCAGCCGCACCCATTAGCACTTACCGCCCATAAATCGATGTCCACTTCAGTATTATGATGCTGATTAAACAATTTATTGAACATCTTGCTTTGGGAGAGGGGGTATAGGGGTTCTAGGTACACAGGTTTCCTTAGCTCCAGACTCACCAGATCCTATCTTCAAGGGAATACACATCCACAATCCATGAAATAAACACTGACCAGGCTCTGAAGTCCACATAGATCCAAGGCACCTCAAGAGCCTGTACTGGTCCTGGTTCTCTTTCTTCTCTCTATCTCTCAGGCCTCTTCCATGTTGGAAGCCTCAGGGGAACATCTTCCCTTACTTCAGCCACTGCCCACCCCCAGGCCTCGGCTTAGCCCGCGTGGCAGGCTGAACAGGACCCAGCCCTAATCTATGGCTGGTCCAGGCGAGAGAGTGAGCACATGGTAGCTCCCACCCATATATGTACACTTTGTCAGCAGACACCACTGGCTGCAAGAAGCCCAGTGACTGGCTGCTGTACTGTACACATATCATAGTGTCTCCTATTGGCTGTCCCCCAATATGACAGAGTCTCACTCCGCCCAGGGGGGTACAGACAAGGTTAGACACCTGGGAATTAACCATGTACTTGCTGCTACAAATCCAGCCAGGCTGTCTACAGCCCTGCCATGTCTCTAAATGCATGGTAGTCACATCACAAAAGGTAATGGGCGCTACAATTCTAACACACTAGAACACACCATTATAGTAGCAGGCTAGCACCCACATTGCTCATTGTGATGCCATACACTGTGCCATTTTAAAAAAGTCATGTTGATTTTAGTGCATTAACCACTTGCCGTCCGCCCGTTGTAAAAAAACGGACGGACGGCACTGCTGCATTGGCGGGTTGCCATCGCCAGACGGCATTTCTTTTCTGCTCGCGCGCGCCCCCTAGCGGGCACGCACGGGCAGAAAAGACCCGACCAATGCAAACACTCGTTACCGGGTGTTTCACATATAGGCGATCAGCGGCTCCATAGCCCGCCGATCGTCTATATGTGCTCGTTTACAACGCCCCCCCCCGCGCGGCCGCCGGTTTCCCTAAAATTCATTTCAGTACAGCGCTGCATGACGGAATAAATGTCAGTCAAAGTACCGCAGCGCTGAATACTGAAAAATGGCCTGGATGGGAAGGGGGTTTAACACCGCGGATGTCAACTGGTTAAGGTGCGTTGCCAGCTTATTTAAAATAAAAGCACGTATGCTAATGGAACCCATTGATTTACAAACAATTGCAGTAATGCACAGTAGTCCTGTCTCTATAAGTTTATGTTTAATAGGTCCTGGGTTCAGGAAATGAAAGTGAGTATTTCATTGTGTATGCACTATGGATGGTAGCAGTTGAAGCTTCCAAATTTAGTAACAGCAGCTTATTTCAGAAAGTCAACTTCCTGTCACTTGTAACCACAATGTAGAAGCTGTGAGAACAAAACTGATAAGAACACAGGCAAGGGCCCCAAATATTTCCAGTAAAGGGATGCAAAGATGATTTGGTGAGTGCAGCAATACAATGCATCTCAGTTAACTGAATTCCTATCAGAAAAAAAAGCAAAATTGAAATTTCAGTGTGTTGGAAGATGCTGGAAAGTTACAACACTGAACATATTTTAATGTATCTTGGGGACTTGGTAAGGATAGTGTGCTCAAGTCCTAAAGTGTGCACACCTGCTGTGGTCATTAAGAGGGGTTTCCACTCTCCCTGTTGGATTTTTATTGTATTATATATAATAGGAAACATAGCAGGAAATGCTGCAATACACAAGGGTGGGCAGGAACCACCAGATAGACAGGAACAGAGTCAGGAATTCTGGAAGGAGATCTTGAAATTCAGGAAGCTAATGATTGACTCAGTCCCGCTGGCTCCACTTATAAATATAAGTGGAATTACCTTTTGATTGTTAGCTATACAGTTATGTACTTTGAACAGCACTCCTTGATTTACTGCATAAACCTAAACCTGCATAAACCTAATCCATTTTGTGAACTGTGTACACAAGTGTTACTCCCAACTATATAATTTACCAACCAGGGCCATAACTACAGATTGCAGGGCCCCATAGCAAAAATGTGAAGGTGGCCCCCCTAATGACCTCTCTCAGAGCTGTGAGTAACAATGCCAAGATCCCATAGAATCCTCTTGTGCATCTGAAGTCATCTCTACACTATAGACTTTACAGCGGATCAGAGTTGTCGTCAACTGCAACCACTCCAAATCCTAATGATACAGTGTGGTATTATCTTCAAATTTTTTTATGTTTCAATTGCTTCAACAATCTAATGGGGACCCCTTCCACCTCCAGGCCCCATAGCAGCCGTCTGGACTGCTATGGCTATAGTGACGCCACTGCTCCCAACCAACCTTTAAACAACATTGCCCTTACCTCTACACCTTCTGCAATAACTTCCTCCAAGTCTTATGCGAAAATACAGTGAGGCATCTATTTTAATCCCATCTGCAGACCAAACTTTTTTTCAGATTGTTGTTGGAGTGAGGAAGGGTTAAAACACCAATTAACAAGGCAGGAAGTAAGGTACAAACTCCACTATGGAGATATAGAAACAAGAACTTGACAGTGATTGCAACCATTTCACAAAAAATACTTGTAACCTGTAAGCCCAACTTTGGGAAATTTTGTATTGTTAATGTTAAAATGTGTGCCCCCCCCCCCAAAAAAAATTGGGCTTTTAACATCCCAAATTCCAAGTGTATTGCAGGCAGCAACACAGATTTTGTGGGTAGACATCACTAATTTTAGAATGAGCAGACAGTAAATATGTTTAGCGCCATATTATATCCTATTCTCCTATTTACAGAATACTAATTCTCTGTGTCATTCAGCCTCGTTGTTAAGTTTTGGGCTTGTATGGGCATATGGGCATAAAGCATAAAATATGCCTGTATTTATAGCACCCGGGAGCTTCAGCTGCTGCATTTTTGTGTCCATAGGCTTGTATGGAAACAATATGCTATACACAGGTATATGGCATCTGGAATATGCGGTTCAGTTTTGGGTAGACATGTGCGATTCGTTTCGTTCCGAATCGAAATTCCGACGAATTTTCAGAAATTCGGATGTATCCGAATTCCGAATTACAGACATAACGAATGCAAACGAATCCGAATTTCCATTTCCGAAATTCGGTAGCGTTAGTACGAATGTTCGTTTCGTTTCTGTTCTTATTCGTTTCTTATTCGTTTCCTATTCGTTTCGTTCGTTGGAGCAAAGTGGCATTAGAGGAGAAAAATATGTGTAACTATGTATATCAGCAAGTACCAGCGTTTGCATGTGCACACATATGGGTGTTCCTCAAAATGGAGGTTTTGCATATACTTGCATTTACATGTGTATTCCCACATACAGTGTATTGTGTGCAATCCCATGGACACAAAAACCCAGCAACTCCCAGGCACCAAAAATACATGTGCATTTTACGCTGTATGCCTATACGCCTGTATTTGTGTCTCTCTGAATGAGCCCAAAAATTGAGGTTTCTCAATTATTTTACATAGTATGTGATGGTGTATCAATGTCAATATAATGGTTATGCAGAAGTGAAGCTGCCCTTATAATGATGAATATCCCGCATTTTAGTATTTACTCTTGCTAAATCAAACACTGGATAGAGCAAGATACAATTTCTTGATTCAGTGTGCACATGATTTCCTTTAAGCTTGCTTTGTTTTTTGCTTTGTGTATTTGTAGGATACATGCCATGTATCCTAGTATACACTGGAAACTCTTTTATCCCATAGTCTACCCTTGCATCCTAATTTTCAGGATATCAAATGAAGGTGTATTTGGCCAGGACAGATTTTGCCTGATGTTCTATGCACATCGTATAGGTGTCCAACTATTTTAAATGTCAAAAACTTTGAAAAGAAGGCAGAGCTATGCCTTACACAATGAGTGATAATATGAGATAAAGATTCAAAAGCAGAGGTAACATTTAATTATGAGAACATTTGTTTGTGGCCACCCTTATAATAATACAGTGCACTGTGGAGCATAACAACATGCATGTTTACAAGCCATATTTTGCACGATAATGAATGTTGCGTTAAGGCAGCCCATTCATTTTAAATGGGCTGCCAGTACACCGGGACACATGGAAAAAAAACATACATACATTTTGTGTTGCAATGTGCTGAAAAAAAATTCTGCATGAACTATACTTACCCACAGCCTTGAAGCCACCCTTGTATCATATCCATGGAAAGTCCCTCTAGAAATAGAAGATTTCTTCTATTACATATTATTTAAACACAGAGAAAATGCATTGAATATTTAGAAAACCTTTCACTTTTTAGTCTGTAAGTAAAATACCTGTAGCGCCCTGGTTGAAAGGCTCTATCTGTGACTACTGGCAGTCCCAAGGTCCCTGATCAAGTTGCTGGGATTCCTGTTATAAGATCACCTAATTCCTGTGTTCCACCTGGCTATGGAAATCCTAAAAAGTTAACCAAATTGGCTTGGCTGCATAGAATTGTGTTAAAGAGAGTGACGGAAGAATATGAATTACTGTATCCATATGTGCCTCAGGAGATCATGCAAGAGATTGCTGGAAAACGGTGCCAGTGGTATGAGGAAGCTGTTAGTGCATATATGGGTCTTTCACCTAACAGTGCTTTTCTCAGGTACAGGCGGCAGTTTAAACGATGCCTGGAAACATGGAGCTATGGTCGTCACATATATATGCGGATCGTGTGGTGATCAGGAGGCTTAATCAGCCAGATGTACCACATTTCATCACTACAGTGGACAGTAAAGGCGAAGCTATTTAGTTGCCTGACCCTGCCTACTATTGGTAAAGTGTTTATGGAAATGTTGTTTAGTATAATGGCAATGATACAGTTAGGCTGTGATACCTGCCAGAAGAAGAAGATTTCTTTTTTTTGTGTGTTTGTGCTCTGCAACAGTACAAGTGTTATTACTTACCTAAGATGTGTTCCCAGACGTAAGGACTCCCTGCAAGGATCACCTCTGAGAAAGAATATTTTTCTTTTCTTTTTTCTCTTTTCCTCTTGTTCAACAAATAGTTGTACCTCACGTCAGATGTCAGATATCAAAGCAAACAATGGAGAAACTGAAGTAACCAAGAAATGCGCCCAGGAGTCAGAACTCTGTACTAAGATCACTCCTGTGAACTATAGTCTAATACTCACCCATTTAGCAAGTACCTGGAAGTAAGGATTGTCCCGGTCAGCGATACTTCTTCTAAGGGCTTGTTTAATTTTTGTTTCTCTTTTTGGAAGTAAGAACTCTTTTCAGACCACTTCCTGGAGCTATTAATATGTCAGTTTGCAACATCACCAAATGTGTATTTAGGTAGTATGTAGATAGGATGCCAGTTGCCTTATATCTACAGGACTACGGGTCAAGATAGTCCCAGTGGGGACTAAGGATTCATCTGTTACACTCTCGAAAGTCCCACATGGGAACCCCCTACTAAAATCCATTCGCTATACATAGTTCTCTATTTAGGGATGGAATACTTAGGTAGATTTTGTTGTGAGAGCAGAATTCCACTCCTTTGGGAGTCAGGCTTTGACCTCACCTTTGATAGGATGTAAGACAGGGTAAATGCCTACTTGGTTGCTCTTTTCTTCTCATTTCAGGGTCGACATGGAGACTTGGATCAACTGTGATAAGCTTATAGACGTTAATGTTAGCTAGGTATAGTATAGGAATAATTACTCAGTCAGGATTAGGGCTCTACTTCATGTTGTACTATTGTTACAGTAACCAAGTACTGTATTTAGAAGATAGATAGTAAGTTATTACTACTGATATTTTGTAATTTTTGATACAAAACCATTTTCGTGTGGAATGCCACATGTATGTTGTACACATGTTAACCTTTTCCTTCCCCGTACCTACCCCCATGTTTTTTTTTTATTAGGACATCTGCTCTCGGGATGAGAGCTTGTTTTGGTGTAGACTCCGAGGATGTCGTCCTTTTAAGTGTGGGGAGAGTGTAGCGCCCTGGTGGAAAGTGTGCTATTAAATGTAGTGTTTATCAGATTGTATGTGGTCTGATATTAATCTGTAGTTTGGTTCATGTGGTTTCTCCCCTAAACAATCTATCATTGCTGGCCATCTGTCTGCTGCCAGAGGTACTGCCGGGTGTGCCCTGGGGATAGAACAGAACAGCCAATGGGATTGCTAGGAGTAGATATCCCTTCCTAGCCAATCACTGTTGAAGGAGCCAGTGGTGCATGCTGGGAGAGGAACTAAATACTTGGGGTGGGCCATGTGAGCTCTCTCTTCCTCCCCTAGGCCCTGCCTGCGGGGAGGCTGCGCTGGGCTGGCTAAGCTGACTAGGTATCAAAGCCTGGGAACTAGTTTTGCAATCACCCGGGAGCCTCGAGACAGCAGGTCCAGTGGTTGCTGCTGCTAAAGACAGAGATTCGTAACTCTTACCTCAAGTAATGCAGTGTCAGATGTTTGGGCCTGCTGTACATGGAAGTTGTAACCACACACTCTCTGAGAAGCCATGGAGTCTGCACCTACCGAGATGATCCGAACCCTCCTCTGCCTCTCTCCCTAATATTCTTCAATAAATGTTTCTAGCATCACAACTACAGTCTGGTCCTCACTTCAATCGTTCAGCTGAAGGGCGGTGAGTGCTAATGGGCAAAGTGAGCAACAATACCCCTAGACAAGAAGAATCGGAGCTGTAGTAACCCTTAGCAACCGACCCTAGTAACACAAGGTGTGCTGGTATGCTGTGGATCCATGGCAGAGGTTTCTTATAGAGGAACGACAGGGAGACCCGTTCAGTTTATTGTAGATCACCCCTTCAGAGCCACCAGTAGTGCTATCCTATATTGGGATAGCGCTGACTGGGGAAGGGGGAGTGCTACATACCATTAGGGAGCTGGTCAAGCTAATAAAACTAAGACACCTTGGGGGGAATTTATCAAGATTGGAGCAGACAAAATCTGGAGCAGATTTGCACTGCAGCCAATCAGCTTCTGTCTCTCATTTTCAAACCTTAGCTGAGCAAACTGAACATATATGCTGACTGGTTGCCATGGGCAACTGCTCCAGATTTAGTTTGCTCCAGTTTTGATAAATTCCCCTACTTGTCTTTCTATTATGGTATTGAAAAAAATTCAGTAGACTGTTTCATGTGACACATTGTCCAGAAATGAGACCAATAAAATGTGAATGACTGCGTGTCATCTGGAATATGCGGTTCAGTTTTGGGCACCAGTTCACAAAAAGGATGTTGTGTAACTGGAGAAAGTGCAGAGAAGGGCAACTAAACTCATAAGAGGCATGATGGAGCTCAGCTATGAGGAAAGATTAGCTGACCTGAATTTGTTCTCTCTGGAGAAGAGGTGATTAAGGGGGGACATGATCACCATGTATAAATACATAAATGGTCCATATAGTGAGCTTGGTGCCAAATTATTCACTTTAAGGTCACTGCAAAGGACAAGGGGGCACTCTTTGCGTCTGGAGGAAAAGAGGTTTAAAGGAGAACTATGAGGTGAGTGCTTTTCACTCACCTCATAGTTCTAGCCAACCTGTGACAATGAGACTGTCACAGGTCGGCTCAGTAGATCGGGAGGTGAGCGAACACATACCGGCGTTCGCTCACCTCTCGATCCTGTCACGGCTCTCTGCCGTGACAGGGGAGGGGCTGGATTCCCCCCTCCCCGCTCCGATCCGCCAGCGCTGACTGGTCGGAACGGACAGGGCGGGTACAGCTGGCTCTGCCTCTAGATAAGCAGAGCCAGCTGTCAGTCACGCAGCTGGGCGGATCCCGGCATAATTGTCGGGATCCGCTTCAGCTGCGGCATCTCAGTATACCGCGAGCTACAGTTTGCGGTATACTGAGCCTAGGGTGACGGGAGGACGCTAGTTTATGTCCTCCCGTTACCCTAAGGAGAACTATGGGGAAAATACTTAACCCCATAGTTCTCCTTTAACCTTTGCATATGGAAAGGGTTCTTCAGTGAGAGCTGTGAAAATGTGGAACAGACTCCCCCAGGAGCTAGTTCTAGCTGGCTCAGTTAATTGTTTAAAAACAAATCTGGATGTATTCCTGAATGCACAGAATATTACTGGATATTGAGTTCTTATAGGTATATTAAGCATCAGAGATTGTTGATCCAGGGAATATTTGATTGCCTTATGGGATCAGGAAGGATTTTTTTTTTCCCCTGTTGGAGCAAATTGAACAAGGCTTTATAGGGTTTTTTTTGCCTTCCTCTGGATCAACAGGGGGTAACTGTGGGCATAGTGTTCTGTTTAGGCTTTCCTTCTCTTTTTTTTTTTTCTCCATAGCTCTATAGGTTGAACTCGATGGACTTGTGTGGTTTTTCAACCTAACTAGCTATGTAACTATGTACTATGTGTAACACAAACCAGTAACACACAAAATGTTGGTAGCATTTCTGACAAGGCTGAGGTTCATTCTAAAGGTGGCCTATATACAGGTATGTGCCATACAGTGTGGTCGGTATGGTGTGGTATATGTGAAGCCTTGTGTTCGATTTGCAGCATTATTGGAAAATATTTCCATGAACAAAAGGCATTGGTAAGACTAAAACAAATACAAAAGCATGTATATTAAGTCACCTGGAACTGCTATGCATTCGTATTCATCACTCACCATTCAGAAAAGCATCATCCAGGTCTTGGAAAGTAAATTCTGGCATATTAAGAGACAAAGTGTCCTCTTCATCTATTGTATTGACCACATGGCATAGGCGTGTCCAGGCGTTGCGCCTTTCTGATGTGTTCACGTGCTCCATTAATGAACAAGTCATGGCTTCAGATGGTATGTGTTACATATGCTATGAAATAGAATTGTAAACAGATAGTGTACAGCGCAGAGATTTCCTAAGAAATGCTTATACAGAACATTATTCCAAATTCCCAGGACATAATATAAAGTAGAACAATGGCCTCCCACTAAAAGAAAATATGCGATGCAGCACATCTGCACTTCCAGTTTTCTCTCAGTTCCCTTGCAAAGTCCACATTTACCAATGAAGTCAACCTAATGCATTTCCCTGTGATGTACGATGATGCTGTATGGCTCCTGAATTCAGAGCAGAGTTGCCACTCTCATGTACGCTTTTCCTGCTTGTACTACAGTGGGATACAAAATGTTGCAACGTGGCTATTAGCATTGTCATTGCCTATTACCAATCGTGTAGCTTGTCAAGCACTACCTGACTACACCTAGTACTTCCCACTGCTTTCTGGATTGAAAGTACTGCCTCTGCTTCTGAAACCCTCCCATTGTGAGCAGCAGTGTCTTGGAAAGGGAGCATGTGAGACACAAACGAAGGATAAGCTTCTTAGACTTGGACATTTTTCAAGAAGGAAAACAATTAGATAAAAAGCCTAAAACTGTAACGCAGATAGTTTCCATCTCCCTACCCAGAAGAAAGCTTTACCATATAGGCAATTTCTTAGAATATAATATAACTTTTCACAAAAGATTTTTGAAAAGAAGCAGTGGAATTATTAAGATGTGTTAAAGGATAAGTTTACCTTTGGGACCATTTTTCATATTACACCCATATTCAAGGTGTAACAAAAAATATGGTCACATCTCAACACCCCCATCCCAACTCCACTTACCAATCAATACTTTCCCGACTTACCATTACCATTTATTCTTTCTCCCATCCATGTAACTGAATGTCCACACTTTTTTATGGTCAGGGACAGGAGGAAGAATCTGCAAGAGCCAGAGCATTTAGTTTTAGAAGCGACACATTCTTTTCATCAAATGTTAATAGGCCCACTTTGACTGGCAGTGTTGGCAGTCAATTGGCCAGTAGTTCACTCTGGCTGTGCTTGTTCTTGTTCTTGCTGATGCAAAAAAAATGTCCTGCCCTTTTTACTTAAAGCATATGCAAACCTCAAATCTATGTCTCAGTATGTTTTGCCATCATGCCTCACTGTATATATTTCCTAAGCAAATTATTTTTGTGAATCTATTGCAAAGTTTCTTGAGTTTCTTACCTGGAGCTTTTCAGTTGGCTAATGGGCAGCCTATGAGCTCTGTCAGATAAGTAGACCAGCGGCCAACTGAAGGGGCTCACACAGTAGGCTGACATTGCTGCTGTTATTTGTGAGGCAGTGGTTTAGCATTGTCAGCCTGCAACAGGAAGTTATGTTACTGGCAGGGTGTCCAGGTAAAAAACTGATTCACAAAAAACTATTTGCTTAAAGGAGAACTATGGGGTTAGGGCTTTTCCCCATAGTTCCCCTAAGGGTAACAGGAGGACACAAACTAGCATCCTCCTGTCACCCAAAGCTCAGTATACCGCGAGCTACAGCTCGCGTTACTTGAGGCCTTTTCTCTCTAAATCCCCCAGCCCCAGAGAGTCTCTGTTGTACACATGTATCTTTTAGGTTTTGTAGTTTACAAAACATATTATATATTATAATATGTTTTCTATCATATTTTATAGGACAGATAGGGCTTCAATGTGGTACATATATGTTTATTTCCTACTTTTTATTGGGAATAAATAGTACACAATTAGTAAAAATGCATTTTCCTGTAACTTTTCCCAACACAACATTTATGTAATTTGCCAAACGTCATATATTTTCCCCAAAACAATCAATGTTTAATTTATTCAATAAAGTCCACTGAATAAAACAATATCAGATTGGTTCAAATTTTATCTAACGTATCGGTATGATACAGCTAAAAGTGAGTATTTTACTGTAGTAGCTAGGGCTGCAACTAAAGATTATTTTAATAATTGATTAGTTGGCAGATTATTTTTTAGATTAATCGGATAACAAAATTAAATCAAAACCATCCTTAATTTAAAATAAAATACATAAATGTACAATTTTTTTGCAATCGCACTGCACTGGAATGCACGGCATTGAAATACTGTGCGTTCCAGTGCAGGTGATGACACAGTGGGTGGGAGGCGCGTTTGGGGTGCCATTGAAATTAATGGCACTGCAACGCTCGTCCAGCAGCAGAATTTGTCAGGTCAAAACCAAAAATGACTTTTTCACAGCTTTTATAACTTCTTTTTTAATAATTGTATTGTAAGCACATGGCGCTTGAATAGCTTCAGCCCAGGAATGACAGCGGCGAGTGGCAAGATTCCGTAGATGGCAGCTGAATGTAAATACAGCATGTAGTGGGGCTGGTGCATTAGCCAGCCTGCTGTTGGCCATTTTAAATTGCAATAGCCAATAGCAGGCTGACTATTGCACCAGCCCACTGACTGCTGTGCCCTCCTCCCAGCATGGAGAAGAGAGCTAGGGGATCCAACCACAACTGTTCAAAGCCACTGGGAACTGGACAATAATAATAAACTCATGTTTCTGCTAAGGAGAACAATGCCAATTGATAATGAGGATAGTTGACTATTCTCATTATTGATTATTAGCGATGAATCGATTAGTTGGTTGCGGCCCAAGTACTCTCTCTTTATTGCCCTTTTGGTGCTACATTTTGACTCATGCAGGAGGGACAAAACTATTTGCGTAAGTTGTTAGCATAACATTAAGATAAGATTAAGTCAGGTTGATGCATTTTCACGTTTGCAGTTGCTAATAAATTAAAATGAGATTGTGTTCATTTAGGTGAGCATTTGATGCTTGCGCAGTGAAAGCAAGTGTCATCCAGATCATCCAATGCCATTGTTGCAACCTGAAGATTAATCTGGGAAGGGAAATGTTGTATTAATATTTGGGACAAATATTTTGTGTGTACAGTATATATATATATATATATTGCGGCCGCTCGCAAGGTACGGAACTCAGAAGTCGGAGCCGCCGGAGGACACAGCGGGGATCGCGGACAAGGTAAGACCTGTACGCTGCATTCCCGAGTGTGGATTGTGGTTACCGCTTTGTTAACCTCGATCCACACTCGGCAGTGGCGTCACAAGGGAAGAGCGGGGGGTGAGGCCCGCACCCGGGTGACGCCATTGGAGGGGTGACACCAAAATGACGCTGTAAAACGCCCAGGTGGGAACCATGCCCATAGGCAGTTATTGGTTTTCACATGTTGCGTGTTTTTAAAACGCCAAGGTGTGAACCAGGCCTAAAACAGCACTGGGACGAATAGCTAATATCCCAGTATCATTTTTAAAAAGCACCTGGGACTCAAGTGATTTGGAAAACTGTATACAATCTGCCATGATGCTAAATATCCAATAAAATAGATTCAGGGTTCACATACACTGTAACCATTTGCATGGTTTCTTTCAATTAAGCAATGACTTAACAAATGTTTTACTTTTTTAAGAGACTGTACAACCCAACATGTAATAGGCGACTGTATTTTAAATGTGTGCTGGGGCCAGAGATAAAGATTCTGGTATCACCCACACACATGGAGTATGAGGCTGCAGTGAACTGAATTTATTAACACTGGTCAACTAGTTGAGTCAACTATTGGATTTAGTCAGAGAATATTCTGATTATCACAAAATACACATATTCAAATAATTTTTATGTTTTTCAGTGATATTAATAAAATGCTGAATACCTTCCAAATATCTGAGATGAGAAAGAGGGACACCTTCCAGCACAATGGATTTAGGCAATGGACACCCTCCTGCCACGTCCTCAGTGATAAAGACTGTTAAGAATTTATATGCCAAAAATGATTGGTTACACCCAGAATTGTTTTATTTTGCATCAATACTTTTCCTTTATAATGGCTTTTCGAAATAACAATAAAGATAATTAAGAAATAAGATGAAGGTTTTAGTGCAGAATAACACATTTTGGTAGGTAAATAGAACCTTTTCAAAGATATCTGTACATCAGACCAAGCTTTGAGCTGTATATGTCTTTAGCCTTTTTAAGCGTCTAATTCTATTGGGACTATATACAGGAAATAAACATAAATGTTTTCTTCCAATTCTATTGGGACTATATACAGGAAATAAACATAAATGTTTTCTTCCTATTCTTGGGTTTCCTGTACCATTGGAACCCATAGCAGCATCACATGACTTGCCGTACATTGCCCTTACAATGAAGGAAAGTGAGTTTTCTGTGTGCTCAGCAAGTGATTCTGTGGACAAAATGCACAAATCCAGCAATCTGTATTGTTTATGTGTTGTGTTTCCTCTTCTATATGAACTTAGAAAATGCAGTTCTCTACCTGTATAACAAAAACAGAGTGAATGTAAACTGTTTATAGGACTCACCTAATCTTCTTAGTCTGAGACTCACAAACTCAACAGTCACACCAGAGGATGAACAAGCACAGGAAGCTCAGATAATCATTTTGTAGCATTACATTTACAGTAACCACAAGTTATTTCTGGCACTCCCACCGCATGTCCTGTATTTTGTTTTTCACATGTGGCTTAGTTGGCTTAGTTTGTATTTCAGCAAATGTAATTATGTAAACTGCATTAACTGAATGATATATTAGCAGTATGCCAGCAACAAAGCAAAATACATTTTAACAAGACTTAATTTGCACGCAAAGCAGACTAAATGCCACTTGTAAGATATTTTAGTGATGACATTGTGATCAAATTTAAAGTACCTAAACTCAAAAACTAAACTATAATATATTGCAATTTCTAATCCCCTAAATGTGGTGGCTGCAGTATTTTTCTTTTTTTAGGCTTGTTTTCTTTTATTTTCACCTGATGATCTGGCCAATAACTGACCTACTTGCAGTACATTGCTGCCACTAGATGGAGTAGAGGAGCATTTCATATGCATATTTTCCTATCCACTCCATCTAGTGGCAGTATTGGCAGTAATGCGTTGGTGGCAGTAATGCACCGTGAATGCTGTTTGCTCAGCTATACGATGGGTGAGCACATTATAATTCAGCTCCTTACAGTCTTAGAGTGGCTTTACTCTATAGAGGAGCAATGGAGCTGCCCTTGGATAGTACCATTGTCACCCTGTGGAGAGGGTAGTGTTAGATGCACTAGAAGATTTAGATGGATTTAACTAACAAAGCAGAATGCCAGCTAACACTAACTCCATAGTGACACAGTTTCAGAAAAGTTTTTAGTTCCTGGGGACTGGAGCAATTTTCCCATTTTTGCTATGTGTTTGTTTAACCATAATTTCCATCTTCCTTATTCATTGCACCTAAACATATTATATACAGTTTTTTTAAAAGAACAAAATGGGTTTTAATTTGATGTGACATATGCATATTGCTCTGAAATCAGCCGTACTTCGGCTGCACTTTGGACAGCCGCACATGCTCTGTATGTTCGGCTGAGCCGAACACAGGGAGCGAACGGCAGTGAGTGGATAGCCGAATGCCGCCGAGCGGGATTCTGCTCGGCTATTCTGCTCGGTACCTCCGTGGTTGAAAAAAATTGTTGAAAAAAAAATGCATAACATTTTTTTTTTAAAGAACAAAAAATGGGCGGAGCTAGCAGTGACAGCTGGCTCCACCCAACTGCTTTCTATTGGCCGGCACCTGACGTCGCCCCGCTGCAGCTGTCACTTTGGCTCAGTTGAGCGGAAGCATATGCCTTCAGCTCGGCTGAGCCACTTGGCTGCCTTCAGGAGCTGTACGGGCTATAGTGAATAGCCCGTACAGCAGCCTTTTGGTTTGAGTGAACGCTAGCCGAAGCCCGCAACCGAAGCGTCGGCTGATCCTTCAGCTAGCTTTGTAAATAGACTCCTTAGGTTTTTTATAGAAAAAATAAAAAAAAAATGCAAACAATTTAGAAAAAACATATTTTTCAGTTTGTTAACACAGATAATGTGTACATAATTAGTGTAGCTAACAGAAAGTAATTCATAATAAATTCTTCTATTTATCCTGATTTATAGGGTATATCGTATGTTTGGGATTTCAGTTTATTTTGGAAGTTGTAGGTCACAAAATATAAGGCGTGAAATACAGTTTTAGTGTGAAACAATTTTAAAATTTGGTATGCTTGTCTCCTAACTTTAATAGCCTCCTCGGCAATATATTTTGTTATAATTGTTTTATTAAACATATTTTTTACTTCTTTTTTTTTATTTTTTTAAAATGTTTAAAATTTTAAAAATGTATTTAAAACGTGTTTAAAAAAAACTAGGAGGCATTAAGGGGTTAATTTTTTTTATTTACAGGGGCTTTGGATACTAACAGGGGAAATGATCAAAACTGGAGCTGACAAAATCTGGAGCAGCTGTGCACGGCAACCAATCAGCTTCTCTCTTTCATTTTCAAATCTTAACTGAACAAACTGAAGAGAAAAGCTGATTGGTTGCCATGAGCAACTGCTCCAGATTTTGTCTGCTCCAGTTTTGATAAATGTTCCTCTACGTATTTTGAGGAGATACTGTATTCTCCTCAGAAACACTTTCATTATCATTTTGTAGCACACTGATCGGTCTTCTAGCTCCATAATACAGTGAGATGCAAGCAGGCTCAGTGGCTGTAACAGCACTGTGATCAATGCGATTACCTGACGCAGTGATCACGGTGCGGATGCCGCTATTTTGCTGTCGGACCCAGCAACAGCTATAACTCAATGAGCGCTGGTCCCTGCATGGACCAGCGCTCATTTTAGCGCGACTGATGGGATTATTCAGTCACCGGACCTTAATGAACTGAAAGACCGTGAATGAAGTCATCAGTCGGGAAGGAAATTTGGATGTGTTTGAATGTTCGAATATGCTGATATTTGCCTGTTTTTCAATTCGGAATCAAACGAATCTTACATGTCTGCTTCTCAAAAAGTTAAAGTGGTCATACAGCTTTGTGTAATGTCCGTATTGAGGCAAGCAGCAGGTTTCCCTGTTAAACAGCCCTGCTATGGGTATTGTGTATTGGTTACTAGTGTGTATATACCAGCAGGGCCGGATTTCCCACAAGGCCAACCAAGGCTTGGCCTTGGGTCAGCAGGGAGTAGAGGGGCAGCAGGCGTGTGGAATTCCTATCTCCCGATGGACGGGACATGAAGTTCTGGGCGCCGGGTAGTTAGTTGTTTTCTACATTTAGCCCTACTTTGGGCAAGCAGAGCTAAATGTACAGCGGGCAAGCCGCCGCTTGTTTTGTACAAGCGATGTCGCCGAAATCACTTGAATGCAGCCTGCAGGTCTGTCATTCTCCCTGGGGAGAGGGTTTGGCAGGTAGGGGGGTGCATTGAGGAACCTGGCCTTGAGGCAGCAGAGAGATTAAATCCGGTCCTGTATACCAGCAGCTATCAGGTAGTGCTTGGGGGTTAGGGTCAAATCCACCTCCTCAACTTGCCTTTTCTTAGATGTGTTCACTAATCAATGTCAGTACTCAGGGCCCTCTAAATGACTTGCCTTTGGGTATTGGCCAGCTGGAGTCTCCTGTCTCCTATTTGTAATGACCAAAGGCTCTGGGTTATTGGCCAAGAATAAGCACACAAGCAAAAAGTTTACTTTGTCTTTGCCATTATGACAGTTAGAGCTGAAAATAGCTATTGTAATGATAAATGTTACATGTATTATAACTTAGTGAATAGAGCTTAGTGATTTTTTTGTAAGATAGTAAGTGAAACAAATAAGGCTTTGAAGAGGTAAACTGTAGGTAAACCATACCAATGACCTTCTTTTGTTTGCTCTCTTTTTTTTCTGTACAAATATCTAATATTTTTTGAAAAACAATTCTGAGGCTGTTCATATTCAGACACTACCAGCAATCCCCCTAACGTGAACACCCCTTATATTCAGCCACCACAAGCCACCTTATCTAAAGCCCACATATTTAGATACTACCAGCAGCCCCCCTAATTTAAATCCCCCTCATATTCATTCAAACAACCCCAAATGCATCCATTATATCCAACTGCCCTCCCTTCTAACGGAGCGTGCTCCGTTCGGCCAATAATTTTCCAACCGACTCCTCCGATCAGCTTGTCCTCCCTTCATTTATATACAGTATGTTGTCAGTAGGAGAAGTGGTGTTCATTGGGAGAAGATGTTTCCCCTTTCATTAACAGTCAGTATTCAATGTCCTCACTATATCCTTGGTCAGTGCTCAATCCCCTGTTGCATTGTTGGTCAGTGTAAATTACCGTTATATTGATGGTCAATTTAGAATCCCCCCCTATATTGGTGGTCAATATAGAATCTCCCTCTTGCATTGGTGGCCATTGGGAGAAGGGTCCATTTATAGTGGTTGTCAGTAGGAGAAGTGGTACCTCGGTTTTCAGTGGGAAAGAAGGGTCCTATTGCATTAATAGTCAGTGGGAGAAGGGTCCTATGACATTAATAGTCAGTGGGAGAAGGAACCCTTTACATTAAAAGTCAGTGGGAGGCCCCCTTACATTAATAGCCAGTGGAAGGTTTATATCACCACCTCCCAGCCCCTATTTTTACAAAGTAGGTTCCTACATGCATAGCTTTTAGGCCAAACCATCTCGGCATGTTAAATGCAATTATGTCATCACATTTACTACAATAGCACAGCTAAAGAAATGAGAGTCTCTGCTTGAACATTGCCAACACAAAAAGTACTCAACAAAAGCTTTCACATATGATAGCTTTTGAGGTCTCAGAGCATGCCAAATGCCTTGGGATCACAGTTTGTCATCAGAGCCCTGTCTACTGAATGAAACCAATGCACATAATGATACCCTAGTGGTAGCAGGACAGCGGATGGTCACCTAAGTAATCTTGTTAGTCAGTGCAGTAAATGAATCACATCCAATTAGAATGAAACAATTAAAAAATATTGCTACATAGAATACATTAACATGACATCATCAAGAACAATCTTTAATTACAGTTTTCATCTATGAGAAGAGATTGCAGTACAGGTGTGCTATCCATACTACAGACATTGGGGGGGGGGGGGGGG